CCATGTTGTGACTTTGATCTTAGGTAGATGAAATCCATCAGGCATCGGGCCATAGTGCAAGCCAAATCCGGGGTAAAGGTGATACCGCACAAACGTAAGTAAAAGAAAAATAATAAAACAACTCATGAGGTTCAGATATGTTGAGAAATAACAATTAACTTTATCTGTTGAATACAGGAATGTGTTTCCTTCCTGCCCCATTCCATGGATTCATGACACTTTTTGCATTTCTTAAGCGAGTTATGGTATCTTAAGTCGTTCGTCAATAAAAACTTGCTTTTGGTAGGAAGACTAAGTTGAAAAAGGACGTGGAAATCTTGGTCAGCTCCTGCGAGGCGCTATTCTCCGAGCTCAACAGCTCACTGTTGAATCAACACTATGTCTTTGATCTCCAACCCAACTCTACCCTGCATGCCCGAGGACATTCGTTTATATGGACATCGACCAAAACCGGGTTGGGGCCTGTCGTGGTTTGGGTTCTTTGACAATTCTTAATTCCTAACCAAAAATTTTCTTTGTCCCCAGAACAGGAAGATTTATCACTTTCCCTTTTGGAGTTTTTCTCCCTCGTCCATGAGGAGAGATCGGAGGAGAATTATCCTCCTAGACTCTTCCTTTCTCATATTGGTATCGTATACCAATCATCTTAGTGGGTGTCAACAACTTCCCCACCTTTCTCATACATTCACCTTTGTTCATCACTCACGCCACCACTCCACCAATGATCGCTCAGCAGCATAGGTGTGGCTAGACTCAGCCTTCTTAAAATTATCGTCCAGAAAAAAAAATTCTCTTTTCCTTTCTTTCCTTCTTTTCTATGGGCCAGAATTCTTATGAATTCCACGTGGCCCTAATTAAAATTTTATCTTATCCTGAGCCACCCAAAATCCACTTAGCAGAATTTCCACCAATTCATTAATCACTGCCAGTCAACTTTTAAACTGGGTGGTCATTTTTACTTGATAAACAAATTCTTTATTTTTCTCGTGTATTAAAATTTTCGTGCCACCAGATGCTCATTTTTGAGTCACCATATCTGACAATAATAATGATCCTCCTTCTCGACCCTCTTTTCTCATGTCAAGATCCGGACATACAACAGATGGGTCTCCTCGTTAGACACAAGAACCAAAACTAAATGATATCTCTGAAAGATAATTAGTGGCTATTCTTTTAGGGTGGTCTCACTTAAATTCCTTTTCGGTCGCATGGGTGGCCCAGTTTTGTTTATCTTCTAGAATTCTGTTTTTCTTGCCATGGTCACTATCTGATCATGACATTAATTAATTCTGACAGAATCCCAAATCTGGTTTTCTCTTACGGATTTTCTGTCTTCTGCGAAAAAGTATCTTTTCTCGTAAAGGAAATAAAATCTTTTCCTATTCATTTTTTTATTTTTTGTTAAAAAAAAAATGTTGCTCGGTCTGTCTTTCGTTATAGCTCTTCCTCACCTTAAGTATTTCTTGTTTTTAATTTCTATGCTTAATTAGTTAGCCAATTACCATAGCTAAATAGTGTCACATAAAGTTGATAACTGTTCACCAAATCAGGAATTGAATAGCCTTTTTTTAGCAGTGGGCTGCATGAGATATGGTTAATTATAAGGTGGGCCACACTACTAAGAAAATTCAAGGTACTTTTTAGTTGAAGGTACCTCAGCCATTTTTACTAGAGAGGATTATACACATGAACATCTGCCTTAGAAATTGGGAAAAGTTGATTTTTTTATTTCAAAGAATTTTTTTTCCATAATTAAAATTCTATCTTTATATTATATTATTACAGATGACAGTATAATAAACATATGCTTCTGTCTGTGATTTGTTTGTAATTTATTCATTTGATTAAACAAAACATTTTTTTTAGAAGAAAGAATATATTTCTTTTCTAGAACAAAAGAAATATGATCTTCCTTAGTAAAAATCATCAATGGTTTAAAATGCTAAAACAGTTACCTTCAATAAAAGGTTGCAAATTCAAGAAACATTATACTTAATCATCGTTTATGTATGTGGTGTGCAAGAAAGTGTGAATGAATAAATGAGAATGAAATGAAACAAAATTTTAATAAACCATATGACCTGAAGATTGTGATCAAATATGAAATAATCTGTTGCCACTCAGTGTTGAGCTCAGTGTTCACTTTTATATTTACATACACTCTATTCCTAATATTGAGCACTTTCACCCATAAATATAGCAGACCCTCCTTAAAACAATAGTTTTATCATACACACACACACACACACACACATGCACATACACAATGACATTGATTTTGAGACCTGAATGATGAATTTGTCCTGAAAAATCTGGACTTCATAGCAACATTATTTAATGCACCTCACACAAGCTTAATGTTTTCATTTATCTGAAAGGCTTGTAATCTTGAGTTTCACCTTTCCAACTATTATGATGTTTGATTATCCTGTCAGAAAACAGTTCTCAGTTATATCAGAGAAAAATAAATGAAAACTTCATTTTAGAATATTTGATGGCAGATAATACTTTAACATTTTTCATAAAAATAACTGTGTCTTAAAATGTAAAGCTAGATGGTAAGATGCTTAATTAGTTAGTTTATCCAAACACTATTTGCAATTGTATGTAGCCTAACTCTATAATTAAAAGGAGCAGCATTTTCTGTGCAATCATCTATTTTTACTATCTTTTCAATGAATAAAAGAAAAATAAAAAGATTTAATATTATGTAATTTCAATGTTTAACGCCTTTTATTATAAGGCAGGGATTCACATCACCCTGTGGCCTTACTTATTACTAGATATCATAAAATTTCTTGACATTGGCATACCATGGATACAGATCAAGAAAGGAATAGGTGAGTACTTGGGTAAACCATTCTCCCATAATTACTTGACCTATTCAAGTATTAGCAGCAAAAAGCTGTTACTTCTATTGTCAGCTTTGACAGGTGTCTATAATCTTTATTATATAATTTTAATTTGCAAAGGCTAGTGTGACCGTTGATATAAAGATGCCTTTTCCTACGTTATGCTTCAAGTTCGAGGAATATTGTTGTTATTGTTTAGATTAAAACCTGATTTTTGATTTGGTGCTTGTGATTTTCAAGAAGACAGAAAAATGTTTCCCTGCTTTTGAATATGATACAACATTTCTCTTGTTTTTTCAACATCTTGTTCTAGCACAAAAACACAGAAGGCTTATAGTTATATCACGTTGAAACACCAAAGTTAAGCAATGTCGAGCCTGGTCAGCACCTAGATGCTTGGGAATACCAGGTGCTGTAAGCTTGGATGTGTGGGTGGTGTAATGGACGATGATTCAGAATTGTTAACCAGAGAGCTGAGTTCCAGTTCCAGTCAGGTTTTTTCCACTTACACGCAAATACCCTTAGGAAATGTATGAATCCATCTTTTCTTCCCCCACCTATGGGTTAATTAGTAAGACTTGTTTCAAAAAATCATTATTATCTCAAAAAAAATATTTTCTGGCTTTAAATAACTTGCAAAGTCTGTGAAATGTGCCCTTCAAAGCAGCCTCCCACTTGACCAAAAGGGAACAAAATAATAAATAAAAACTTTTAGGATCAAGTGGCACTTGGTTGGAAGTTATAAATTTCCATTTGCAAGCTTATATAAACAGTCACAGTTAGAATTGAGAGTAGTTCTGGACAAACCATTGCTGGGTGCATCCTATCTACTGAGAGTTCTGAAGCCACAAATCATAATGGGCAGTGGGGGTTGTAGGAGAGAATCAGAGTTCTCAGTGGTTGAGGAGAGATCTGTTAGTCTGTCATGACAGAAGTATCCAAAGTAATCTCAACCTACCTACACACACCCCCAGACCATGTCAAGTGAATCCATGAATAAACAACAAAATATATTAGAAACTGGATTCACATCTTCTCACCATAGTGTTAATTTCACTTTTCATTTCCATTGCGAATATGCACCAAACCTTTCCCAGCATAAACAAAAATAGGGACACAATGTGGAGTTAATTTTCTAGTCAGTGAAAAGCTGAGAGAAGGATTCATTATATATTTACATTAACAATAATTACTTCTTTGCTTCATACCAATTTGGGTAGCGGAGAAAGTGGAACTAATATTGGTCTTTTGTTAAAGCAAAATAGCATCAAAATGAACATCTTCAAAAAGTGATTTATACTTGGAATTAAAAAAGACAATGCAAGCAGATTTAAATATCCCAAATTTATTAATAATTTTAAATTCATATACAAAATCTTTCATATTGTGAAAGGAAATTTCTCATAATTTATCAGTTCTTCAGATATGGATTCTTTCAGACTAGTTTCCTTGTCTTTGTTGTTGTTGTACCACATTTTGGCTTACTCAAAAACAAGCCATGTATAGTAACAGTGGGTGCATGATCAGAAAGTGATTGGAATATTCACTTTCTGAACATGTAACTTGGGTCCAAATCTCACCAGGGTTGATTTGCTAGTAAGGTGACTTCTTAATGTTATCAGTTTCAGCAGACAATTCCAGCATGCAGCATTTTTGGAAAGTATCTGAAAACCATACCACTGGTTGAAGCAAGACTTGTAAGTAAAAATAAATAGACGGAACTGTTTGAAAGCCTTGATGGTTATATTAGCATAAAGTCACAAGTCATTGTGACTGAGATTTTGACCCTGTTCAAACTGCTGATCATGCTAGATTATGCACTCTCTCACAGATACTGTAAGTCCACTCAACATAGTTGAAGTATAAACCATAGATGAGCTTTGAGGGTATTGCATAAATACAAATGTGCCTGAGCAGGTGTCTGCAACAGTAATTGGCTATATAAGAGTAAGAACACCATATTTCAGTACTAGTGAGATATTAATCTGAATATTCATGAAATAACTTATCACAGTGTTTCAGTGGATTTTCTTTTGTTTTGCTTTTTGTTCCTAAATTTTGATTGTTGGGATTATTTAAAACAACCATAATTAAATATGATCATCCAAAAGCCAAATTTCTTACAGATTTTTTTTTTTTTTCTTCCAGCTTATACCATGTCTGATCTGTCTGGTATGAATGATGACATCCTTCAAAATGTAGATGGAGTGGGTACTGCTATGACCAACTTAATAAATAGAGTGGCTCCAGTCCAACCTGCAATGTAATAAAATATTGAACTACTCTGACAATTGAAGCTCAATCCAAACTACTACTGGGTCCAGGAGTAACCCAGTTAATTATGGTGCTTAGGTCATAACCTCTGTATCCATTCACAAAAGTCAGCATAACTGTTTTGATTTTTTTTATTGTTGTTGTTGTTGTTTTTTTTTTATATATATATGTATAAGGACTTCCATAAAAGAAGAGTTTTCTTTAAGAAGTGATGAAAAAGATCCTATTGTCTGGTAATGTCCTAAATCCATGCTTTTGGCTAGTTTGTTCCTTTTCATATGAAACATCTGGATAAGAAAAGAGGAAAGAACAGCCTAAGGGATTCTGGGAAGGTTTCCTGACAGCTGAAAAGTAAAAACAAATTTTTTTTTAATTCTATTTTGCTAAATGTTTAATTAATATTTTTTGATAATCAAGAATTTTTTTCTGTTTTTTAAGGTTCTTTGTGAAGCTTCCAATTTTTAAAAATGAGAGAATTTATGAAACAACTGAAGAAAAAATTTTGTTCTAGTTCCTTTTTAAAAAAGTAAATTTTTTTATCTTTGTTAATAACATTATTAACCATTAATGATGCAGCAATTTAAAGTGCTTTCTATATGAATATACAATACCACATCAAACTTAATTTCTAGGCTATTATTATCTGTTTTTGATAGATATCTCTATATACAAACCTTTTTCATTTTTTTGTATATTCCCTCAATTCCATTTCAGTAGATTTAATAATTTTGAAGACTTTTTTTTGTTGTTTGATTTATTCTTATTGATTTCTTATTAATCTTTCTTACATTTTATTGAATTAATGTAAAATTAAATTGAAATTCTTTACCCAGTGATGAACAAACTCTGTTCCATATTCTATTTTTAAACAGGCATACAAAACCAAGTTATGACTCCACCATTTTTTCCTCTCTAAAGAATACATGTTTACCTGACTGAAGGTCAGAGTGGAAGCACTGGTTAGGGGTCCCAGATATGGGAAAATAGTGAACACTTCAAACAAAAACAAAACACTATGATAAAAATACATGTTCATATAAAAACTTACAAACAATATATATATTTATAATATATATTTAGTTGAAGCCATAAAATTGTGTTCAAAATATTTAGATTTTGGCTCAACTAACCTATAGAAGTTGCTGCTAAACAAAATCAATCAATCAACCAACCTGACCATAGGTTACTTTCAATTTAATATTTATTATTTAGTATAAATCTGTTTTTATACTAACTGGTTGAAAGGTATCCATCAAGCACAATGTCAACTCTCTATTTATAGTATAACTAGTTTATTCATATCATCAAAAAATGATACCAATATTTTGGTAATTTAGAAATTGCATAAGTCATATTTTCTACATAATATACATTTTTATCCATATATTTAAATCTATTATAACCTTTTGATTTTTAAATAATTACAATTAAATATATCCAAAGATACCTAACACAAAACAAAAAAAATATATCAGCAACCTGTACTTGCTACTTAGAAATAAGATATTCCGTTGTTATGATAATGATACATGTTCTCTTATTAGTATTGGGTAATGCATACTGTTAATATAACAATGGACTATATATATCATTAATATATAGTGGGGATTAGGCTGCATAACCTATGAATATTATTTCACATTATCTTTTATATTATTGAATAGATTATTTGCAAATAAGGGAAATGCTCTGTAATTAGCCAAACTCAAACTACATTTCGAATTTAAAGTTAGCTTTACTTTTACTCCTGTCAATCCTTAATCAGCAGGAGTCTAGTGTTAAATGATTCTTACACATATGCATTTACAATTTACAAAAATTGTTTATAATGGAAAATGAAACGAAAAGATAAATAAATTTTGCATAAAATAATGGTACCCATTAAATAATATACATTTTTTTAATTTACTTCTACATAAATATTTATAATAAAATATATTTTACAAAATAACATTATTTCATGTAGCAATTAATGATCTTTTCATTTTTTTCCCTCTTTAAATGTTGATATGAAGCAGTCAGTATATACTAAATTGAAAGAACATGCAATCATGCACACACACATACACAACTAAATAATATTTTAATCATCACTAATATATATATATATATATATATATATATATATAATAGAATATGATTTGATTTTTGTGGTGGGTGGAATACATTTTAATTTCAAGAAGGCATAATCAACGGCCAATGATATTTGTGCCCATTTTTAAAAGTCAAATACCCTCTGATTTTTTTAATGCTAGAAATATGTTATGTAAAAATCAAAATAGATGCAAACACATCATGTATGAATGATATAGTAGAAAGGTAGTTTTTCTTTATATTTGTTGAAAAGTCAAGGTGTATGACCTATTTTGTACTTTCTAATGTCTGTAGTTTAAAATCCTCCCAAAGTTGTTAACTTTTGTCAATGCCTTATAACTACAAAATTTAATGATGTCTACTTTTTTCCTGAAAAAAAATGACCCCAAAATATCCCTCAGGTCTTATATGTGAAGTTGAGGCTAAATGCTTACCCATTAATATGCTAAGAATTTGTTGTTGTTTTTTTGTTTTGTTTTTCAATATTTTCTGCTGAAATGGGAAGACAATGGGTTCTTGTATGTCATTAAAAATGGTACATCAGGTGGCATAATTGTTAAATTCATCATCAGTTTGTAGACAATTACAGCAAGAATAAGTATTGGCATAAATGTTATCAAATTAAACAAGAATTAGTCTTTGAGAATGTGCAATTATGACAATATCTTGGAGAGTGCATAGGAAGGACCTTGAACAATTTTAATTTACTGAATTGATAACAACATTTTCCAACTCTTTTAGAGAAATAAAATAGTTTCAGTTTTCCACTAAATACAGACAGAATCCTTATCTTTGTTGCTTTTATCACTGGTTATTTTGGCTGATGCATTCTTCAGTCTTCAAGGCCAATAAAAACATCAATGAATCTAACATTTAGTTTCTTTTTATTGTTGTTGTTGTTAGAAAGAGATTCCATTATATGATTAGATATACATTTCCTGTTCAGAATTTCCATTGGTTTATTTATAAACTAGTGGACTCAAAGCATCTTTCAGAAACTTATAAAAATCATTCATAGTTAATGTATTAGTATCACATGACAGTTTGGTAGGTGAGATAGTTGGGTATTTGCTACTAACATCAGTTTAAAGTCAATGTTGATTTTTTAAGGCTTAAAAATCTAATCCTATATAATTTTTCTACCCCTATTTCCTCCTGCCCAATTTGTCCTTGTATCAAATAGACTAAGATTAGTAAATGTCAAAACATACAAATAATTAAACACAACATATATATTATACATATACACATTTGCATACACATATCTATAATAATACGCGCATATATATTTATATATATATATATATAATATACCGAGAGTGTCTTTATGTAATGTCTGTAACATTCTACTCTATTATTAGAGTTATCTCCCTTGCCACTGGTGACAAGAATGACAAGATAATTTATGGGAAGATAATTCTAAGATGCCAACTCCATGAAAAATAATGATTTGAAAAATAAAGTCATATGTGATTATCTTTTATGGCATAAGTAAATTACTCATATATAATATATATATATATATATATATATATATATATATATATATATATATATATATATATATATTTCACACTGTTATTGGTAATTGGTATAACTTAATGAGTTTAAAAGCGTTGTCTTAAGCTTGGATTTAAGTGTTTATTCATCAACTAAGTTTTGGAAAGTTAAGCTCCATTAAATAAAATTCTTAATCTTTACTGACTATGGCAGTCCACAAAGGCCATCCAACTTGTTACCTATTTGCTCTGTTCCTAAATAAAGGAACCTTGGAGCACATTCTCAGCTGCTTCCTGCTATGACTAACTTTAGCAGGTGATAGTAGACACCACCTGCAGTGAGATTAGCCACTCTAAACACATCTGCCCAATAAAGCAGCCGATTACTTTCACTTTTGCTTTCATTAGGGCTGTCTGGACCACCATCTCAGACTTACCAGCAACAGCACAATACTGAGAACTGAAATTTAATCCAGGGAAACAATTGAAGTGGCTATAAACTGTTGTCATAGCAACACTATTGCAAGACATAGTGCTGATCTCAGAAGCCTCCAAGCAGACCATTCTATTGAAACTCACTGTTGAGGAGGCCAGTGAGAAGGAGACAAATTATGTTGAGGTGGTGGAAGAATGGCAGTGCAGTGCAGTGGCAAATGAAGTGTCAACCTATTCAGGTGGGAGGGTTAGGGACCCGAAATATCTCAATAGGTGACCCCTGAGGTAGCAGAAGTTGCTGAGGGGTGGTCTGTGGCTAGGAGAGATGTAGCACCATCTAGATACAAGTCAGGACTTGATCAACACCACCTAGGTCACTTAGCTGAGAGTATCTGACTGTTGAAAGATTGGAAATACTCAATGATCTCAGGAAATATCACCAGAATGTGAGTTAAGAGATTGTTTCATATTTTGACTGCATTTTGTTAAATTAGAGAAAAAAGATCATCTACAATTCACAAATTTAAAAAATTGGTATGGAAATATTTATATTTTTTATCTATTCTTGATTTAAAAAAAAGATTTTCAGTTTTTGCTTTTTTCTTAAAAATAGTTTCTGCTCAAATAATTATTTACTAAAAACTGATTTTAGTCTTGCCCAAACAAATATCAAACACTTAGTGATGATCAAACTCACTACAACAGTACTAACCTGCATGACTAACATATTAACCATTGCTTCATGGTAGTGGGCCCTATATTCAGTTGCTACAATAGATTTGTTAACTATCCTGACTCTTGTGATTCTACCAAGGATTGAACTCACCATCCTTGGCTAACAAATGTCTAAAGATATTAGACTCCCACTCCTCAGCTTAATGGATTGTATTCTAAGCAGTGGCAGT